TGGCAGTCATGTGAGTATGCTGGTGGCGTTGGTATGCTGTGTGTGTGTGTATGATGCGGAGGTATTATTAAGTGTATGTTGTTATTACGTGGAGAAAGCTCTGTCATTGTGTGACGGTGGTGAGCTGGGGCCCAGGAGCTGGAGTGTGAGGGCTTGGTGCTGGGATGCTGAGGGCTAGGTGCTGGGATGTTGGGGGCTAGGTGCTGGGATGTTGGGGGCTAGGTGCTGGGATGTTGGGGGCTAGGTGCTGGGATGTTGAGGGCTAGGTGCTGGGATGTCTGGGGCTAGGTGCTGGGATGTTGAGGGCTAGGTGCTGGGGTGCTGAGGGCTAGGTGCTGGGATGTTGAGGGCTAGGTGCTGGGATGCTGAGGGCTAGGTGTTGGGGTATTGGGGGCTAGGTGCTGGGATGCTGAGGGCTAGGTGCTGGGGTGTTGAGGGCTAGGTGCTGGGATGTTGGGGGCTAGGTGCTGGGATGTTGAGGGCTAGGTGCTGGGATGTTGAGGGCTAGGTGCTGGGATGTTGAGGGCTAGGTGCTGGGATGTTGAGGGCTAGGTGCTGGGATGATGAGGGCTAGGTGCTGGGATGCTGAGGGCTAGGTGCTGGGGTGTTGGGGGCTAGGTGCTGGGATGTTGAGGGCTAGGTGCTGGGGTGTTGGGGGCTAGGTGCTGGGATGTTGAGGGCTAGGTGCTGGGATTTTGAGGGCTAGGTGCTGGGGTGTTGGGGGCTAGGTGCTGGGATGTTGAGGGCTAGGTGCTGGGATGTTGAGGGCTAGGTGCTGGGGTGTTGGGGGCTAGGTGCTGGGATGTTGAGGGCTAGGTGCTGGGATGTTGAGGGCTAGGTGCTGGGATGATGAGGGCTAGGTGCTGGGATGTTGGGGGCTAGGTGCTGGGATGTTGAGGGCTAGGTGCTGGGGTGTTGGGGGCTAGGTGCTGGGATGTTGGGGGCTAGGTGCTGGGGTGTTGAGGGCTAGGTGCTGGGGTGTTGGGGGCTAGGTGCTGGGATGTTGAGGGCTAGGTGCTGGGATGCTAAGTGCTAGGTGCTGGGGTGTTGGGGGCTAGGTGCTGGGGTGTTGAGGGCTAGGTGCTGGGATGTTGGGGGCTAGGTGCTGGGGTGTTGAGGGCTAGGTGCTGGGGGGTGTTGGGGGCTAGGTGCTGGGGTGTTGAGGGCTAGGTGCTGGGGTGTTGAGGGCTAGGTGCTGGGGTGTTGCGGGCGAGGTGCGGGGGTGTTGCGGGCTAGGTGCTGGGGTGTTGAGGGCTAGGTGCTGGGGTGTTGGGGGCTAGGTGCTGGGATGTTGAGGGCTAGGTGCTGGGATGCTAAGTGCTAGGTGCTGGGGTGTTTGGGGCTAGGTGCTGGTTGGGGGCTAGGTGCTGGGATGCTAAGGGCTAGGTGCTGGGATGTTGAGGGCTAGGTGCTGGGATGTTGAGGGCTAGGTGCTGGGATGGGGGCTAGGTGCTGGGATGTTGGGGGCTAGGTGCTGGGATGCTAAGGGCTAGGTGCTGGGATGTTGAGGGCTAGGTGCTGGGATGTTGAGGGCTAGGTGCTGGGATGTTGAGGGCTAGGTGCTGGGATGTTGGGGGCTAGGTGCTGGGATGTTGGGGGCTAGGTGCTGGGATGCTAAGTGCTAGGTGCTGGGATGTTGAGGGCTAGGTGCTGGGATGTTGAGGGCTAGGTGCTGGGATGTTGAGGGCTAGGTGCTGGGATAGGTGCTGGGATGGGGCTAGGTGCTGGGATGTTGAGGGCTAGGTGCTGGGATGCTAAGGGCTAGGTGCTGGGATGTTGAGGGCTAGGTGCTGGGATGTTAAGGGCTAGGTGCTGGGCTAGGTGCTGGGAAGGGCTAGGTGCTGGGATGTTGAGGGCTAGGTGCTGGGATGTTGAGGGCTAGGTGCTGGGATGTTGAGGGCTAGGTGCTGGGATGTTGAGGGCTAGGTGCTGGGATGTTGAGGGCTAGGTGCTGGGATGCTAAGGGCTAGGTGCTGGGATGTTAAGGGCTAGGTGCTGGGATGTTGAGGGCTAGGTGCTGGGATGTTGAGGGCTAGGTGCTGGGATGTTGAGGGCTAGGTGCTGGGATGTTGAGGGCTAGGTGCTGGGATGCTGAGGGCTAGGTGCTGGGATGTTGGGGGCTAGGTGCTGGGATGTTGAGGGCTAGGTGCTGGGATGTTGAGGGCTAGGTGCTGGGATGTTGAGGGCTAGGTGCTGGGATGTTGAGGGCTAGGTGCTGGGATGTTGAGGGCTAGGTGCTGGGATGTTGAGGGCTAGGTGCTGGGATGTTGAGGGCTAGGTGCTGGGATGTTGAGGGCTAGGTGCTGGGATGTTGAGGGCTAGGTGCTGGGATGTTGAGGGCTAGGTGCTGGGATGTTGAGGGCTAGGTGCTGGGATGTTGAGGGCTAGGTGCTGGGATGTTGAGGGCTAGGTGCTGGGATGTTGAGGGCTAGGTGCTGGGATGTTGAGGGCTAGGTGCTGGGATGTTGAGGGCTAGGTGCTGGGATGTTGAGGGCTAGGT